CACACACACACACACACACACACACACACACACACACACACACACACACACACACACACACACACACACACACACACACACACACACTCTTTCTCTCTTTGGTATGTCTCACCAAGCTTTTCTGCTTCTGTCTGCTTTACCTGGACCTAAGTCACATGATCGTTGTGCTTGTAATTTTTCTGAAATGTTGTTTCCTGAAGTTGAAATGAGAAAATTCCCTCGGCCTTGTGAAAAACAAATAAAAAAACAAAACAAAACAAAACTAGCAGCTCTCGGGTTCTCCAAGTTTCAGATGGCAGTCAAAGTTTCTACTTCCTCATTTAAGAAGAAGTTAGTCACACACTCACCTAAGAGTTACTTCATTTTGGTGTGAGTGCATCCTCTTACGCGTCTCTGTCGTCAGGACACATCGTAATGTTCGCCGTAGCATCCTAGAGACGCCAGAATGGGACAGGTGGCGTCTGTGCAAACACATGACGTGGAGCATCCAGAGCTGTTTGAGCTCGGCTGCTCAGTCATGCACGAGCCTCCCCCATAAATAGCCCAATGATACATGTCTCTACAGGCTGCTCATTTCATCTGTGGATTTGTGTCTTGTCCACGCAGATTTTAAAAGGTGGCTGTTGCTAAAATTCCAACCTGATCAGCTCAGTTTCTTACAGATGAGCGTAAGCATGATGCGGTTCTATTAGCTGGTAGCTAAAGCTGTTTTACGCAACAGTTGGAGGTGACTGAAAAGAGATCAGAGCTCCCACATGTCATAAGGTTTTAGGATTTGGATGAAAAAGGTTCTGTAAGTAAGTCTTCAAAAGTGGGGTTGAATGACAGAAGGTGTTAAAGTTGCTCCTTTTTTCCTGTTGACTAAATCACATCCATGCTATCAAAGGTCAGTGAAGAGGTCAGTCTTGACTTCACTAATTTGTATCATACATTTGGCATGTAAATGTTGTGGTTAGGGTTAATTAAACTATAAATGTCTAATGCCTTTAAGATTAAGGTACATAGAGTTGAACGTGAGTATTGATGTGTTAACACCAACACAGAATTGTGACAGCATACAAATTTCCAGGGTTATTGCCTTTCAGTTGCAAGGGTTTCAGTTTAGTTAATGTCCATCGCATTTTTGTGGATTTTCAGAGGTTTGAAATGCCCAAATTAAATTTGGCCACCATCTTGTAGCTTCTGAAATTCAATTTAGCATGTCGCTAAAACAAAACCAGACCCTAGCCCCAGATGACCTGACCTGATGGATGCTCAGAGATGAAGCATAAACCGGTCCACTGAGAGGATCTTGTTTTGCAGAGACTGTGGGAGCTCTGTCACATAGAAGGAAAGTCACCAGCATTACTGCATGTCTCAGGTATTACATGTAGCCTGACTGACAGCAGGTCATTGGGCTTTTGTGACAACAGTTTTAACTCTGACTGCTTAAGAATTGGTAAGAAAGGAGCTGCAAGTACTCCCTCCACGCCCTGTTTCAGTGCGTGTATAAATAAAACAGGGGAGCCTTTTCGCACTTTGCCCAACATTCCTGCTGTTTAGCTTGGTGCGAGCTGCCCTGTGCTCAGCTCACAGCCGTACTCCTGTCTGAAGCCTGATCCTGCTTGTTCACAGAGCATTGTGCGCGTGGTTTTCCATGACCGTCGACTGCAGTACATGGAGCACCAGCAGCTGGAGGGATGGAAGTGGAACAGACCTGGAGACCGAATCCTGGACATAGGTGAGCTCACCATACCAACATACTCATGGATCACTGATACTCACAGATTTGTGGTGGTTCTTGGTCAATGTCACAAGTTGTGTGTCTGACTGCACAGAAAGTCCAGTAATGGCATGAATACCCAAGTACAGTGAGAGAAGTGATTTTGGAAACTCACAAATATTTGCTCACAACAAAATTAAATATGCTAAACACCAACGATGAAGATAGTGCTGTGGGTTTCCTCGTGTACAACAGTGTGCAGCAGAAGTGATGCCATTATTAATGGCGTGTGGTGAACTGTAGTGTCATACTTAAGTATGAATGATTATGGAGCTGTGCTGGACCAATGCATTGACAGTAATCAATGACCAATAGCCGTTTGACGCGTCTCCCAAAAGGTCGTGGCAGATGTCTACCAGGAGGTTTCTTCCTGTTAAAAGGGAGTTTTCCCTTCCCACTGTCACCAAGCGCTTTCTCATAGGGGGTCTTATGATTGTTGGGATTTTCTCTGTATTATTGTGCGGTCTGTACCTTATGGTAAAAAGCACCTTGAGGTGACTGCTGCTGTGACTAAACACTACATGAACTGAATTGAATCTTAGGTTCTTAGACTTCAGAAGGTTAAACTTTTAAAATTAAACCTCTCCTCAGCTTCAGATGTTAACAGGTTAACCAAAACACAAATGTCTTCACGTGGGCTTTAAAATCAAAGCTGAAATAAGTGGCTGGCTCATTACTTGCAGATATCCCTCTGTCAGTGGGGATCCTGGAGCCTTGTTCAGACCCTCTGCACCTCAACACCATCGAATTCCTCTGGGATCCCCTGAAGAATGCTTCTGTTTTCATCCAGGTACACATTCAATTCCAGTCTCAGTTCCTCGGAGAGGGGAGGTTGTGGTCTTTAGCTGAATTTATTTTTCAGCTCTTCTCTATTCTCTTGTCCTTTCAGGTCAACTGCATCAGCACCGAGTTCACCCCCCGGAAGCACGGCGGGGAGAAAGGGGTGCCCTTCCGAATCCAGGTGGACACTTACACCACCAATGAACACGGAGAATACGTCGAGCATTTCCACTCATCCAGCTGCCAGGTCAAAGTCTTTAAGGTACAATACTTTATTTACTCTTACCTCATGCTCATCTCTGATCTTTAACATCCTCAAATCTCATGATTTACACCACACGTCCTGTTTTTTTTTTTTTTTTAAGCCTAAAGGAGCTGATCGCAAACTGAAGACAGATCGGGAAAAGATTGATAAAAAGACCCCTCAAGATAGAGAAAAGTATCAGCCATCCCATGACGCTACCCTGCTGAAAGAGGTGAGGCCTGAGAGGACCCTTTGTTTGCCTTCTGCTTTGACTTTATTGAACCCAGCTGTAAATTCTTGGGTTACTTGGATGTTTCTGGAATTTGATCAGATCTGAATATTTCCCCCCTCCTTTTCGTTTTGCTTCTTTGCTCACCAAACCATGTAAACCACTATTACGTTACAGTTTGTTAATATGTCACTTTGCTTGTTGCATTGTTTGTTTTAAAAGTTTTCTTTCTTTGCTGCTGTCAGTGACTGAGGCTTTGTCAGTGCTAGTTTGTTATTCACCTGGAGGAAAAGAAAACCTGAGGAACCATTGTACTGGTCATGTTCATTACAAATATCACACGACACTGTAGCAATACTTACCATTACAAACCATTTCTAACACAGGAAGTCTTTATAGAAAGAATATGAAAAGTGTTTGCTAAGTGTGACATAGATACTGGCTAACTAGTGCTAAATTGGTTAAATAAAATCCTAAAATTTCACCTAATCAGGAGTTCAGACTTCTTGGACGGTCTGTTAGTACAGTTAACCGCACAGCAGCCACATTATTGGTCAAATAATTGCATTAAAAATGCTTCCAAAGGCTCCAGCAGCGCCTCTTTCTGCGGTGAAGCCTAGCAGACAGCTAGCAGCTAGCAGCTACAGCCACCATCCTCCTGTCAGTCAAAGAGGACACGCCCATAATAATACAAGCTTTAAGTATATATCAAATTAAAAGCCTATTACAGATGTTATGAGGGGATAAATTAACTATAGAGACCAAAACAGTTTTTGTGTCAGGTTAAAATTCCTTAAATATGGGAGACCATTGGGACTGACTCACTGCTGGACCCTCTGGTGGACATTAGAGGAACTGCAGGTTTGCTGTAGCTTTGTCTTTCAGCTCTGGAGTTTGGTGAAATCGATTAAAGTTACCTGGATTTTTTCAGAATAAAGTTTTCTTCAGAGCTCTGTACTAGACAACCTGTGAAGCTGTATATTACGACACAAATGTCAGCCCGATGAGACATTAACAGACTTTATCCTGGTGCGTGTCTGGTACAAAGTCTGCATGATGTTCAGCTGAGGCCATGTGAGGTTAGAGCTCTCTGTTATTGTAGAGTCTTTACATCTGTCATCTAAAATAACTGAAATTTTGGTGAATGGCACTGCCTCCTCTACCGCCTCTAAATCTCACATTAATGGAATGAAACCAAACTAGCGAGCTAAAGGAGATGAACTATCTAAAGTTGTTACTATGTAGACCATAGGTTTACACACATCTGTGATCACTCGCTGCACTTTGAATGTGATTTTGAACCCTTTAATCTTTGTGAAAAGCTTTCCACTTCATTGCACATCTTCTTCTCTTTCTCTCGTCTTCTCTGTGTGCAGTGCTCGCCGTGGCCCGATGCCTTAAATCTAACCAGCCACAGCACCAGCAGCACACCATCACCAATTTACCACAGCTCACCAACCTCCTGCACTTTCACTGAGGGGTGAGTAAGCATTCACACCACACTTTAATACTTGTTTGGTGGTTTCCACCGACATAAAACGCATCTCTTCAGTCAAGGTCTGCAGGGGAACTGTGTTTTGTTTCAATTATGGGTTGAAAATTTGAAAATGTTTCTCTGGTGTGAATATGCTTTACACTCTATGAGAGTACTTTCACAAGCACAAACTTCTGCAGCTATTAGCAGATGCAAAACAGAGAATTTTTAACAGCATATAAAGACCAGACAGATGTGTCTCAGGGCAGTTAGAAGAAAATACTCAACCAATCATCCCAATGTGTTCTTTCCTCCTCATGTGTGCGTTTCTCTAGCAACTGTTCTCCAAACCAGCAGGGGGAGCTGTTCATGCCCAGCTGCTCTGATGTAAGTAACAGAGACCGGTGCAGTGTGAAAGTGTTAATGTTGCTCTCTTATTCCTTTTAGGCCATTATTTGGAGACAGTGGATGCTGTGCAGCTATACTCATTTCAAGGGCTCTTCTTCTTTTTGACATGTAGCACCTTCTGCCGTCGTCCTCGCCGCAGGACACTCAGCAGTGGCTGCACCGTCACAGGTTCTCGCCTTTCTCAAGGCTCTTCACCAGCTTCTCAGGTACCGCGTGTGAAAAACACACCACACACTTTAGTCTTGGAACTTTTGTCAGAAAGCGCGGGCATGCAGTGCAGGAAAGACAAACTGAGGAAGAACTGATTAGTGTCGATGTGTTCATCTATCGCAGCGTCAGATCAGATCTGCTGTAGATCAGGGCAGCAAGCAGAACCAGATTTCTGCTGTTGTTGCAGGTGCTGATCTCCTGAGGATGACCAGGGAGGATCTGATCCAGATCTGTGGTCCAGCAGACGGCATCCGCCTCTTTAACACGATGAAGGGAAGGTGAGCCATTAAATTACACTGCCCAGCCACACCCAGATCCATTTGCATGATTTACTGGTTGGTGCATCTACAGACACAGGATCATGGAATATACAAAATAGGCATGGCTTCTGTTTCCGGATGTGAGGCCAGCTGAAGTTCCTCAAACCTGCATTCATTCTAATAACCAGAAGGGGGCGACTCCTTTGACTTTTAACACAAGTCAGGTAGTATGGAAGTCCACACAATTCTGGCCCTTTGGGATTTTCCTAAAGTCTAGTCTAGTCTCTTCTCTCAACCATACATTAGATACAAAGATGGATTTGGACACTGATATGATCCATTGTTTCTCCATTACAGTAAATTTATGATATCGGCCTCTTGAGCAGACTGCGTCTTAAGCTTTAGTGCTGCAGGTCCTTGAAATACATTCAATTCAAGCTTTTGCTCACATTTTCAGGTGTGTACAGCCCCGTCTTACCATCTATGTGTGTCAGCAGCAGGCCAGAAATCAACCTTCCATCAAGCCAGGCTGTGGAGAAAGTACGTGTGCAACAAGAAATCGCTCTGAATGCTCATATTTTGTCCTTTTTTTTTCAGTCCTCTGTCTGTAGTGTGACTGAATGGTTTTAAACAAGCAATTCCTACACACCAAACACAACTGCAGGTTTATTAAGCCCTAAATTAAATATTCAAAACTAAGACAGATGGCAGCCGCAGCTGGACCAAACAAGTCAGAGGACCTGAAGAAGACCTGAAGCAGATGTTAGAGTCAGTCCTTAAAATACAAACAAAATAAAACTCATGAAAAAGACTGAGTCCAATTAATAATACACATGGATGTGCCATACTCTTTCTTAAATATTGTGTTTGTAAGGCACAGCCAATCAGGAGAAAATAAAAGGAAGGAACAGAGGAGGAGCTAAAGATGCTTGTTTCAGACAGTCCATCAACTGAGGATCTGCACCAAGGCTCTGTATAAGATAAAAAAGGGTTATTTTGAACATTGAGTCATGCACTCTGTTCTACTACTCCAAAAATAAATGTTTGCAGATGAAACCGGGCAGAGACAAAATCCTAAAATATCAGGAAATCATCACAGAAACTGGCAGAGAGTAACACTTCTGACCTGATGTGATCATTCTATGTCTGTCTTGCCTCTGCAGTCTACCACGCTCTGTACCTGGAAGAGCTGACACTGCTGGACCTGTCTGAAAAGATCGCTACACTGTACAACATCACTCCACAACAGATCACACAAATCTACAGACAGAAAACCACCGGGATCCACATCTTGGTCTCAGATGAGGTACCTGTCCAGTACTGATTAATATGAGTGCATATCTGCAAATGAGTATGTAGATTCTGTAGGTAAGGGGTAACGTTCAGGTATCGGAAGCTTCCTGACTTCCATCTGTAGTTAACTTCTATTAACTTCTACTAACACTAACACAGTCATCTTTGAGTTGAGTTTGATTAGATGCAGGTAAAAAATAATTGAGAAGAGGAAGAGAGAGCGCCTGCTTTGCTCTAATCCAGTTTTAAAACAGGATGCTATTGTCTAATGACAATTTTTTTTTTTTTATTAGCCCCATAAAAATATATCTGCCTTCCAAAACCATGAAAGACAGAACAGGAAGTCTCAGTTTTCCGTTAGTGATCATCAATAAAAGTTCCACCATGAGCTCCAGATTCCTTCCAAGTCCATGAAGTGCACTTTATACATGTTTCAGCTGTTTCAAGACCAAAGTGTGTGGTGCTCTTTGTTTCAGATGGTGCAGAACCTCAGGGAAGAAACCAGTTTCATCATCAGCACCATACGAGGTAACTGACCTTTATCCGTACAGCCCTGTTTCAGGGAACGTTAAGAAGCTGTGGAAAAGGGAAAGAAAAGCACTCATTTCCAAACAGTTTAAGCACTTAATTAATGTCATTCTGCAACAAATGCAGCAAATCAAACGCTGAAACGAAGAACGCAACCAAAACAATCAGTGGTCACTATACATTTAATGCAACAAAAACATTTTAAATAAATCAGAGCAGGGTCAAAAAGAAAAACCAAAAAACAACGCATTGCATTGAACAGTGTAGAAATGCTACCAACAGTTTGGGGATTTTTTTGCTCTACATAACATCATCAAAAGATTCAAAGAGAAGCTGGAAAGATCTCCGTACACAAGACTGAAAACCACTTTATCACCTGAACCGTTTTGTGGAATTCATGCAGTGTAAGTCTTGGCATAATCACGGTGTAATACACAAGACCTTCCCTGTAGAGGACTTCGTCTGGATGGCTGCCTGTGTTGCTCCGTGTCTTTGTTTATCATTTTGGAGAGGAAAAAAAAGAAGTTGGTTCAGGGGCAGCTAAAGGCTGAAAAGTTGTAATTATTAAAGTTGTAATCCCAGAGCTGAAAATGAGTTCAGTAATCTGTGAGTAAACAGCATTAACAGAACCTTTCTCAATATAACACGCAAACATAGGATTTATTCATCTGCTAAATAATATCAAGGTAAAAGCTGAAACAGTGAATGTTGGTGGAGCTCAGGCCTTCGGACACAGTGAACAGGAACATCCCTGCAGGATGGCATCTATATGTTTTGGAGTCATCTGCTGCCATCTAGATGTTGTTTTACTGGGAAAGTCTTGTTTATTTCAGTGAGATGATCCTAAACCATGGCTGTGGCTGTATTCCTGCAGCATGGCTTCATAGTAAGAGTCCAGGCGCTAAACTGGCCTGACAAAGTCCAGAAACCAAAGGCTGCTGCGGCCGCTGAGCAGCTGGTTTCCTGCAGCAAAATGAATAAATCAAATTCAGCTGGATGAATCAAATTCTTTAGTTTCAGCGTTTGCAGCTGTTTTATTTTCAGTGCTTTTGCATTGTTTTTATTTAGTCACAGAGCACACCAGTTCTTTTGAAGAGCAGAAACAATTTATTGATTTTAAGCTTCAAGCTTTCATCAGGATGTTTTTTTTATTTTGAATGATCTTTAACTGAATCTTTGTGTGTTAACAGATGAAAACACTGATGGTTACCACGTTGTGTTAAAATGATCTCCGGGACGTGCCTCAGTGGAGTTGTACAGATTGTAAATACGTTTTACTAGACACTGTAATGATAATAATATTAATACTAATAATAATGTGATGTTTAATAAGATTTCTATTAAAGTGAAAATGCTTGTCAGCTCTTAGCTTACTGTTGATTTTGAGCTTTAATGTTCTCTAGTTATTTTTTACATATTTGTTCAGTTACTGATTCTTGCTTCATGTTGCAATTAGTGTTAACGAGCGCTGTATCATTCTTTAATATGTCAAATGCAATGCTGTAAATGCAACTGAATGACTCTGATGATAATAAAGTAAAATAAATGGAACACATCATCATGCAGACAAAATGAAACGATGAACAAACAAAACTGTATGATGCTGTTTTAATGAGAAGTGTGATCTCCCGCTGCCTCGGCTCTCTTTGTTCTCCTGCTGGGTCGTGCCGCGTTGGGATGCTCTGAGGCTCTGTATTTTCTGGGTGAAGTGGAACACGCTGCTTTTAAAGATTCGATTTTGACTTGCTGTGAATAACTGTGCTGTGTTTGAGAGTAATTATTTGGCTGCTTTTAAGATATTAAACCTGCACTTGGGGGGGGGGGGAGTAGAGTCAACAGTGATTACAAGCAAAACCAAATCACCAGGCCTTACTTACAGGTCCTTAAAGTTAAACTTGTATGTGAAGGCACTGTCATATGTCATACATAAATGTCTTAAATCTTGACAAATGCCCACACTGTAACAAAGGTAACAAAACTAATAAAAGACTGAAAGGAAATAAAATCAAATTTAAAACAAAAACTAAAGAAGAGTTTAAAAATAAACAGTAATAATTGTGGACCAGCTCAAGATCCAGGTATAAAATTTAAACCCCATCTCACTATGATGTCCACCTTCTCTGTGCATCATCTAATCAGGTCTATAAGTAACTTTATTCATTTCATCAGTATTGTATATTTTGAGTTCAAGCTTCTGGACAAAATGACCTTGCTCCATGAAAATGCTGTCATGCTGTTATTTTAACGATCAAAAACTCAAAATGGTGCACCTAACAATATCAAAGCAGACTTACACAAACACACAGAAACGTTTTAAATATCCTACATGCTTGTTAGCTACACAACTGTGCACAATGATCCAAACTCCAGGAGTCTGGAAAGTTGTGCTTCTTAGATGTGGACTCTCTGATCCAAAGAGTTCAGTTGGGGGAAGAAGAGAAGAATAAAATCACTGAAAGTAGAAAAAGTGTGTGGTGGAGATCTTGGAAAACTTTGTGAGATCTCGCAACAGTTCATTTTCATTTTTTTTCTCCAATGTCCCTTGCAGGGCTCAGTAAGATCCTACTTTCCTTCTGATTTTTGCAGTTACCAATGGTAATTCTTTTCAGTACATATGTAACACCCCCTCTGGCCACATTGTGGCAGTGTTCCTGGTCAAATCTCAAACACAGAAGCTTGTATGTAAATCTGGAAGTATCCAAAAGATGAAACAGAGAAAGTGTTTCACTTTGTCTCGTGGTTAACATGTTTACTGCACTCTCTTTTCCCCCACTATTATAGTATTGAGTGTCTCTGTCTCTCATGAACAAGACCAAGGTTCGATTCCCTGATTGAGAGATACTCCTTGTCTTTCAACTTTTAGAAAAGCAAAGTGCACACTGTGAGTAGGTCTTGAGGGAGGTTAGTGTTTCAGGGAATAGATTGTCATCAACGAGTGCCCAGTGGAGAGAGTGGACAGCTTCAAATACCTCGGAGTTCACATCACGCAGGACC